AAAATACGACGTCACAATGTCCTTTATAAAGTACAAAGATTAATAAAAAAAGTAAAAAATATAATTCCAAAATATTCCTATCTAATAGTTTGAATAGTTTCATTTAACTTATATTAAAAAAATCACATTTAGAGCGACAGACAAAATAGTCAGTCATTTTTTATAATATTGACATACAAAAATTTCATTAGGAGCCATATTTTAGGAAACTATAATCGACGTAGCGTAGACACCATGGTAGTACAATAGAGATACCAGAAAAACATTAGGGTTGGTGTGGTTGCCAACAACGCAACTGGATGCGCTACCATTCAACTGTATACACTTTATTATTGGAACGACCTGAGTGCTTACTCTTGAAACCAATTTTAATGTCAATGCAATTTCAATCCAATAATAACTCAAAAATTATTTAATGTCAACACTATACAACTCCTATCGTAGGTGTTAAAATCGACGGGAGCAGTCATTCGATGATTTTCCCCCCTTAAAAAAAAAAAAAAAAATTGTTAAAATAGCATTCAGAGTACGGAATATAAAGCCAAACTCAATACCATTTACTTCATTCAATATCCATGCAATACGGATGCAATGGGCGCTAGTGTTGCAACTCAAAAGTACGAAATTGTACTATGTTAATGTCGATCGATCGGAATTGGATTCAAGAGTAAGCGCTCAGACCAGACCACGATCAGACCATGATAAAAACGGCTCTAAATTGACCCTACGTAGTTGACTATTAGGCACAACAACTACGTATTTAAAACGTTGCTTACATATCTAAATTTATTATAATACCAAAAAGGTAGGTAACTAATAGATAGAGAATACTCGAAACTAATTAATATCTAACACATAATATGTATATATATCGTTTAGTACACAAGGACGGTGAAAGAAGACGGACACAGTCTCTTGAAACAACGACTGTGGCACCTGACTACTATACACTTACACGCAGAACATACACACATTGACACGAAGGACATCTGTCATTTTCTAAAGTCTGGTAACGTAGTAACTCATTACACACGCACACATAAATACAGCACTGACATTTTGGTGCTTCAATTATTTCTAAGTGACATTATGTCCTTTTTTTCAGCGTCCTTTCTATAGTACTCAAGAAAAAACATATTTTTGATTCTAAGACATAATATTCAGTCATATTTTATTAAGTGTTATTATGTCTATTTTTACTAATAACCCCGAAACCATGTCTTAACTAAGAGTTAATTAGGATAAGGGAACATGTTAGGTGTCACCTATACACCTATTAGGTTGTTTAAAACCAAAATGGCGTTTAGCGCCATCTATATAGAAGAATAGAAGTTCCGTAAAATTTAAAGGAGGTTAGAAAAAATGGGCACCATTATTAATTTAATTAACAACCTTAAATTAGATATGTTAGATTTTGATGTAGATATAAGTTAGGTACACAAATACTTAAAATCTACAGTAAACCATTATTAGTCAAGAAAATACATATATCTCTGAAGTTACTTTGAAAACTACTGCGAATAATTTTGCAGTCGTTTGGCACACAACTTATGCAAAAACTAGCGACCCGCCCCAGCTTCGCACGGGCGCTACATGCATATAATGTACATATAAACCTTCTTTAAGAATCACTATCTCTCATATTATTTTATTTACCAACTCCATGGGTAGAGAATTAGCCTATTAGCCGTGAGTTGTAATCAAATCCACGACAATCCATGTTTACATGCAATATTAAGGTATAGTACAGTTTTAATCTTACATATAAACATGAAAAACATTTTATAGGATAAAAAACGACCGAAAATTTCATAGAAAAACTAACAACTTGAGTAAAAGTCCATCATTTGAGGCATACATTGAATACATTAGGTACTTCTTAAGTTAATTATCCTTAAATCTCCTATTTAAATATGTAAAGAACATAATTATAGTATATCTGAAGATAGATTTATACAATGTACAATTTGGTCTGCACGTCAAACGCCTTACACCGATCGCCGTCTCGACGAAAAACTTAAACAGGCATCACAGCCTATTATTAGGCATCTTAAAATTAAGTTATTAAAAATCATAAAGTATTAACATAATGACTAGACTGTCAGATTTAGTCTCACGTATACACAGAAGTCTCACGCACGCACCGCAGTCTCACGCACCGACAGTAGTCTCACGCACGCTCCGAAGTCTCACGCACCGACAGAAATCTCACGCACGCACCGAAGTCTCACGCACCGACAGAAATCTCACGCACGCACCGAAGTCTCACGCACGCACCGAAGTCTCACGCACGTACCGAAGTTTCACGCACCCACCAAAGTATCACGCATGCACCGAAGTCTCATGCACGCACCGAAGTCTCAAACACGTACAGAAGTCTTACGTACGCACAGTAGTCACTTTATTACTTTTTGTGGGTATCACGAATTATTCATTATCACTTATTTTGTGCTTCGTACATCACGTCAAGCGTTGCTCCTTTCTTTCTGCTGTGTTTGATTATAGTCCAATTATCCATGCGAGTTTGTACGACAAAATTCGCCAAAGCTCCATAGTTACCAATAAGCTCTTAAAATCTCCAAGCTGGCCACGTCGCTCGAAGGACTGATGGCCTATGGGCCACGAAAGTATGATCAGAAGACGTACCGTGGGCAGGCTCCTCCCTTGATGGACCGATGACATCGTCAAAGATGTGGAAAGCCATTGGATGCAATTCGCGAGCTGTGGTCCAATATGGAGGCTGCCGTTCACCTGTGTGCGTCTTTCAGCTGATGATAACGATAATACACGAAAGTTAAAGCAACAGTGTATTTGTGTTGGCGCACATACTTATGCTCTTGTTTTCTTCTTTCAATTACTTCTTTGCTCAGCTACTTTAAATAACTATTAAGTCACAACTCTTATCAATTAAGTTTGTGCATGTGAGGCTATAAAGACCTATTAGTTAGCAGTCCTTTGCACCGTTAATGTCTTTACTTCTTTCTCCTTTATTTGATTCCAATTCGTCTCCTTAATCTCCTTCCATATGCTTTTTAATAGCTATTTACGTTATAATGTTCTTGTCACACAGTTCAGTATCTTTTTGTTGTATACGATGATGCATTTTATAGTGTTTCGAAGCGAGCAGTTTGCAGATATCACACTGATAAGCTGTTTTGTCAAAATGAACACGATAATGTTTCATCAAACCAGAATTTTCTGCACATTGTCGTTCGCAATTGATGCAATTGTGTGGTTGTTTGTCATTGTGTGTTTATAAATGTAATAAATGTATCCGCGACACATCTGAGTTGGTATAGTTTTTGCCACTTATGATGATATTATTCTTTTTCAACGTGAATACGTCATCATTATTCTTTTTACAGACGTTGTAATTACAAGGTCAATTGTATGGTGCATCAAATGCTGTTCACGCAAAATTCTCATTTACAGTTCTTTCAGCGTTTTGTATATAAATGTAAAATTTTAAATGGGTAGAATACTTGATACAGTGCCCATATAAATAAGCTTTTTCTAAACGAGAGCTCATATGAGTAATCAATTGCAGCTGTTCTTTGAAACGCCTTTTACAGATCTTGCAGAAGTGTGATGGTAAGGCATGCCATAATTTCGTTAGAATGAAATGACTTCTTTGTCTAATTATCTTATATGAAGTTTTTGTCTAGTCTTCCTCATTTTCTGATAGATTTTGAGATTCGTCAGGTGTTTGTGGAAAATTGTCACCTGTAGGTGTAGGAGACGAGGATTTAAGAATAACGAATTGAGGTATATGATCGATTGACGTGGCAGGCGTACTTGCCACGACAAGTGTTGATATAGAAGGAGCAGTAGTCAATTCGTCATTTAGAAGATCAGGAGACTCAGATCTAAGGGGAGGAGATGGTAGCAGATGTGTTTGCGTGGGTGGAGGAGCTGTATGGAGCAAAGGATCAACATTTGGGGGATTAGGAGGAATGGGGGATGTGTGATTAGAAAGACTTGAGGATTGTGTTTCAGGGGACAGAAGTGTCAACTTTTCGAGGAGTTTTGAGGAAATGGTCTTGATCTTGGAGAGTGGAATTCTAACAATAATTGATGACTTGGCCTTTGACTTGCTTAAATTTTTGGAGCTTACAAGTTTTGGGGACTCATCTTCAGATGAATTATGCGGCAGTGAAGGTGAATCAGGATTCGAGTGTTGATATTTTTTACCTAGAAAACACCTGACTTTGCGCAGTTTATTAGAAGGGATGATCTTCTTGACGTGTTCAACAACTACTACGTCTGGAGAGGACTTTGAACATGTCGGAGATTGAATCGGGGTGTCTGGATATTCTTCCATGATTGGAAAAGAAGGAATAGATGATGCAGGAATGCGGGGTGAGGGATCGGGAGGTAAAGGAATAGAGGATGGAGAAATGCAGGGTGCGGGATCGGGAGGTAAGGGAATAGAGGATGGAGGAATGGGGTACGAAAGTTCAGAAAAAATAGAGGGTTCAGGAGCAACGTCGTCGTCGGAAGAAGTAGGTGATTGGTGTTGAGAACAAATGCTACTCTTATATCGTCACACGTAGGAGAAGGAGAACCAGACAGTGAATAGTTGTTGGAAGATTCGTTCGATTCAGATGAATCAGAACTGCTCCTGCTGGAAGGAGTTGATGACCGTGATACGGATGAATGTTCTGAACAAGAGTCTCGCTCTTGTTCAGAACATTCATTTTCTTTAAATAAAGGAGAATTGGGGTGGCGAGGAGATTGGGGTGCAGACGAGTTATCGGTACATGTACACGAATTACAATTCCGCTTTTGAGGAGAAGTTCTATCTGAGGTTAGAGAAATTGGCGATAGACGTATAGGGGACATGGAGGATTGTGGTTGTGAAAACATATTATCAGAAGAAACCGGCGAATTAGAGTTTGAACTGTGAATTGTTATCACCTCAACAGCTTGAAAGGTTTCATCATCCGATGATATTGATGCATCCCTCTTTTTTCGTTCAGTAGACATTAACTCGTTAGGCACTATATTAACAGGAGTCGACATCGCAGGTTGGGAAGAATCTGGGGACTGTGGTTGCGAAAGTTTGATATGTTCTGGGGTTGACACGGAACGGAAATAATTGGCTCAGAACGCGCCATGTAATTAGATACTTTAGGCAGTTTCATACCCCTTCTCCGTTGAAGATAAAAGGGAACAATTCGGGAGTTAGGCAATGAAGAGGTGATGTCATCGGAATTTATTGGTGCGTACACACTTTGGCATTTAGGTGTAGTGTTATTAATGGTCGTAACAGGAGGTCGTGAGGGAATAATCGACGATTGTGATTGTTCTAATACAATATCGGTAGTCTTTGGTGAATACTGACTATAAAAATCAGATAAGGTGTCATTGGTTGGTTCAGGATGAGTTAGCGAAGGTATGTGTATAGTGGGATATTGTTCAACAGTGCGTTGTGTGTTAGTAGGGGATATCGGAGGAACTGTCGTTAGAAGTTCGGGTTTAACTTTACAGTTACTGTCGTCTACAGTTAATGGCGAATTCCTTGTGTCACTAAAAGTATCAGGAGGTATTGATGACAGAGGTTCAGAAGACATAACGTAGTTCGGAGGTATTGGTGAATTGGGGTTTTGCGTTGGTTCAGATATATTTAAGTCATTACGAGTTTCAGAAGACATTGATGTCATAGATACAAGAAGAACAGAAGATTGAAGATTTGATAACGTAGGATCTGAAGGTGTGGGCGGATTGGAGTTAATTGCAGACATTGGTGTAGGAGCTATGGGACACTGCGACTCTAAGGACATAGATTGGTCAGTGGCTTCAGGTGAATTTTTCCATGGAGGAGGCGCCGTGGTAGGAGTTTTATGAGGAACTGATGGCAAAGGTGCAGGAGACAGAGACTGGGATGAGGTAGAGTTATAATAATCGCTAGTAGTAGGTAACTGGGAATTTTGCAATTCAGGTGTGGTATTAGCGGATACGGTAGGTACTGACACCATCGGACCCTGAAGCTGTGAAGAGATAGTGGATGACAGGAGTATCGGGGAAACCGAGTCTTGCAGAGGGGTTATGACGTCATTAAGGGATATATCATGTATTGGTGACGGAGATATAGGGACGATAGGCACTTGTGTAGGATTTGAGTTGGACGGCTTGTTGTTAAGCAAACTGCTAGAAGGTGTAGGCGAGTTTAGGCTCCGTCTTTTTCGGCAGATCACATAGTCTTCAGTATTAGGAGAGTTTGTGGAGTTAGGTAATGACGATTCGGAGTTTTGTCTTTTACGGGAAATCGTGTGAGAAGGAGGTATGATAAATAATATTTTTGAAACTGATTCAATAGGGGATTGAGTCTGGAGAGAGTAAGTATGGTCATGTAATACATGTACAAAGGTGGGCGGGGATGGGTGAGAATCATTGATTAGTGGAGGGATGTCGTTATCATCAAACGTAGGAATTGGCGAGGCCTGTGTAGGTGAAGGAAAGGACTGACCATTTAAAGATGTAAGAGGAATTACCGGATCGGTTGGTGAAGTTATTGGAGCATTTCGCTTTTGAGGAGAGCTCTTGGTGGTATTGGGAGAAGTAATTGGTAACGGGAGTGGAGGATTGGAAGCCAGAGGGTTAGAAGATGTACTGTGGGGGGATAGTGGATCAGTGGGTGTAGGTCGAGGTGGACTACGGCTTTCTCTTTGAGAAGACATTAATTGACTAGTGAACAATTGTACACGGGAATTTAAGCTTTCTCTTTGAGGTGACGCTAGTTTACCGGTGGGCAATTCTACAGACGAACCAGGGCATTCTCTTTGAAGAGACATCAGAAGACCAGTGGGTGTTTGTCCAGACGGGCTAAGGCTTTCTCTTTGAGAAGATATTCGTTGACCAGTGAGCAATTGTACAGGGGAACTTAAATTTTCTCTTCGAGAAGATATTTGTTGATCAGTGGGCCATTGTACAGGTGGACTTGGGCTCTGCCTTTCTGGAGATATTAGTTGTACAGCAGTCAATTGTACAGATGAACTTGGGGTATTTCTTTGAGAAGACACTAGTTGCCCAGTGGCCAATTGTATAGGTGGACTAGGGCTTCCTTTTTGAGAAGACATTAGTTGCGCAGTCGCCAATTGTATAGATGGACTAGAGCGTCCTCTATGAGAAGATATTAGATCCCCAGTGGACAATAGTATAGGTGGACTTGGGCTCTGCCTTTCTGGAAATATTAGTTGCCCAGTGCCCACAGACGAACTTAAGTTTTCTCTTTGAGACGATATTAGTTGGCCGGTGGGCCATTGTACAGGTTGACTAAGGCCTTCTCTATGAGAAGTCATTAAATGACCGGTGGCTGTTTGTACAGACGGACAAGGAAATTCTCTTTGAAAAGATGTTAGTTGGCCAGAGGACAATTGTACAGGTGGACTTGGGCTTTGCCTTTCTGGAGATACTAGTTGTACAGCGGACAATTGTACAGATGGACTTGGGGTTTTTCTTTGAGAAGAAATTGGTTGTCCAGTGGGCAATTGTACAGACGGACTAGGAAATTCTCTTCGAAAAGATACTAGTTGCCCAGTGGACAATTGTACCGGTGGACTTGGGGTTTCTCTTTGAGGAGACATTAGTTGCCCAGTAGACAGCCTTTCTGGAAATATTAGTTGCCCAGTGCCCACAGACGAACTTAAGTCTTCTCTTTGAGAAGATATTTGTTGGCCGGTGGGCCATTGTAGAGGCGGACTAAGGTCTTCTATATGAGAAGTCATTACTTGACCAGTGGCTGTTTGTACAGACGAACTTAAGTTTTCTCTTTGACAAGGTATTTGTTGACCGATAGGCAAATGTACAGACGAACTTAAGTTTTCTCTTTGACAAGGTATTTGTTGACCGATAGGCAAATGTACAGACGAACTTAAGTTTTCTATTTGAGAAGTCATTGCATGACCGGCGGTTGTTTGTACAGACGGACCAGGAAATTCTCTTTGAAAATACATTAGTTGTCTGGAGGACAATTGTACAGGTGGACTTGGGCTCTGTCTATCTGGAGATATTTGTTGTACAGCGGACAATTGTACAGAGGGACTTGGGGTTTTTCTTTGAGAAGACATTACTTGCCCGGTGGACAATTGTATTGGTGGACTAGGAAATTCTCTTTGAAAAGATACTAGTTGCCCAGTGGAGAATTGTACAGGTGGACTTGGGGTTTCTCTTTGAAAAGACTTTAGACGGCCAGTGGGTGTTTGTACAGACGACCTTAAGTTTTCTCTTTCAGAAGATATTTGTTGGCCGGTGGGCCATTGTACAGGCGCACTAAGGCCTTCTCTATGAGAAGTCATTACATGACCAGTGGCTGTTTGTACAGACGGGCAAGGAAATTCTCTTTGAAAAGATGTTAGTTGCCCAGTGGACAATTGTGCAGGTAGCCTGGGGCTCTGCCTTTCAGGTGAACTTGGAGGTTCTCTTGGACAAGACATTAGTGGCCAAGTGGACAATTGTACAGGTGAACTTGGAGGTTGTCTTTGAGAAGACATTAGTTCCCCAGAGGACAACTGTATAGGTAGGTTCTGCCTTTCTGGAATTATTAGTGGCCCAGTGGACAATTGTACAGATAGACTTGGGGTTTCTTTTTGACGAGACATTAATGGCCAATTGGACAATTGTGCAGGTGGACTAGGGCTTTCTTTTTGACAAGATATTAGTTGCTCAGTGGAGAATTGTACAGATGGACCAAGGCACTCTCTTTGAAAAGACTTTAGACGGCCAGTGGGTGTTTGTACAGACGAACTTAAGTTTTCTCTTCGAGAAGATATTTGTTGGCTGGTGGACCATTGTACAGGCGGACTAAGGCCTTCTCTATGAGAAGTCATTACATGACCAGTGGGTGTTTGTACAGACGGGCTGGGAATTTCTCTTTGAAAAGATGTTAGTTGCCCAGAGGACAATTGTACCGGTAGGCTGCGGCTCTGCCTTCCTGGAATTATTCGTGGCCCAGTGGACAATTGTACAGATGGACTTGGAGGTTCTCTTTGACAAGACATTAATGGCCAATTGGACAATTGTACAGGTGAACTTGGGGTTTCTCTTTGAGAAGACATTAGTTGCCCAGTGGACAATTGTACACGTAGGCTGGGGCTCTGCCTTTCTGGAATTATTAGTGGCCCAGTGGACAATTGTACAGGTGAACTTGGAGGTTCTCTTGGACAAGACATCAGATGCCCAGTTGGCAATTCTACAGACGGACCAAGGCACTCTCTTTGAAAAGACTTTAGACGGCCAGTGGGTGTTTGTACAGACGAACTTAAGTTTTCTCTTCGAGAAGATATTTGTTGGCCGGTGGGCCATTGTACAGGCGGACTAAGGTCTTCTCTATGAGAAGTCATTACATGACCAGTGGGTGTTTGTACAGACGGGCTAGGAAATTCTCTTTGAAAAGATGTTAGTTGCCCAGAGAACAATTGTACCGGTAGGCTGCGGCTCTGCCTTTCTGGAATTATTAGTGGCCCAGTGGACAATTGTGCAGATGGACTTGGGGGTTCTCTTTGACAAGACATTAATGGCCAAGTAGACAATTGTACAGGTCGACTTAGGCTCTGCCTTTCTGGAGACATAGCGTAGTTTGGTGTTATAAATGGAACGGGCGATTTATACATATTTGGCATAGGGAATCGAGGTTCAGCAACAAAGGTGGCAGGTGAATGTGAGGTAAAGTCCTCCTTTCCAGGAGATTTGACTTGATTTGGAGTTGCAAATGAAATTGATGGTGGAGAAACATGCGGGTTAGAGTTTTGCATATGAAGAGCCATAGAATCTACGAATGATTGATGTTCTCTAGATACGTTATGATCGGGAACTGTAGATGAGTTAGGATTTTTACGCCTAGAAGGAGTATAGTTAGAACACGTAAAAGGAAGCAAAGGTGGACTCGTTTGTAAAGAGTCAGTTGAGTTGGGGTTTTGTGTCTGTTTTCGTATGCTGTAATCGAAAGCTACAGGAGAAATTGAAGGAGGAGATACTAGTGGAATAGAGGACTGAGGTGCTGAATCAATATTTCTGTTAGTAGATGTAGGTGATGTGGAGTCGAGTCTTTGAGGAGGGGGAATTATGGGCGGTAAAATAAGGCCCTGTGGGGGCTCCGGTGAAGTAGGAATGTGCCATGTAGGAAACTTGACATTATTGCCAGGCACAAGATTATCAGATGACGGAGATGGGGAACTTGGACTAATGTTTTGATTTATAGAAAAATTTGTGTTATAAGGAGGAATTATGGGCGGAGACATGGATGAAACGGAGGCCTGGGGATGGGAAAAAAAGGGGTTGTAAATAGGAGGTATAGAATATGGATTATAGTTTGGAAGTCCTATTGAAGTATTTGATAATTGGGTATTAGATCTGTGCATAATGGGCGCAATCGAGGGCTGCCGTTGGAAATTATTGGACGGAGTCATAGGCGAATTAGGGTCGAGACGCCGAGGGACCACATTCCTCGGCGACCGAGGTGCAACTGGTGTGTTTATGTGAGAAGTTGTATGGGTATCAGATCTAGGTGTTAGGGAAATATACAGCGGCGAAATGGTAGAACTGGGGGACTCTTGGCGGGGCATGTGATGTGATAGAGGTGGAAGCGAGGTCGTTTTGGCGGGGGACTGATTAGTCCGATTACTATGTGGAGGCGTGTCGAAATCGGATGGCGTAGAAGACCCTGAAGGATACATCATGTTGTAACAGGATAGAAGATCAAATGGTGGTTGGAAACATGATAACATAGGATATCGAATATTGTGAGATGGAACGGTGGATGAAGGTATGTCTACTGTGAGTGTTTGATCATTATAAATGGGATTTTGAGGTTGTGAATGATTATGGTGTGATGTGCTAGGCTTCGGGAGTGTAAGATTAAGAGGTGACTTCGGAGGAATGGGAGGTTGTGATGCAATGGACATTGTATGCGGAATTGTGCGTGGTAATAGATTAGTAGATGGAGTGTCAGTAGAAATTGTAACATTAGGATGACTAGAATTAAAAGAGGACGTAACCGTTGGAGCGTTGCTTTGAGCAAGTGTCTCACGAACTGGGAACCTTGGAGGAGGTATCCTCGGCGATGTAGGATGGTCCATTTCAGGAAATTGGTACCAATACCTGGACGGAACGTTGGCATTGTAATACATTGTTCGGTTTCGATTTTGAGCAAGATCATTATTGGAGTAGGAAGGATAATAATTATGCTGTGGAGTAGTAAAGTAATTTGGGTGAACAGGATTATACCAATTTTCCATAGAAGACGCGAAATAAGAATGGTTGAAGTTAGCTCTTGGGTATAGAGTAGGATTATCATACCAATTTTCTGGAACCGTTGTTAGATTGGAGGGGATAGGGTGATTTGAATTATTGGATGGAATATTTGGCCGACGGTGTCTTCTTTTGCGGAGTCCTATTGGTGCATATTTAATGACCGAGCGCTGTGTGTCCTTTTTCCGAGGCATGTTTTTAGATTTTAATGACTGTTCACATTATAGTTTTTATTTTATTTTGACTTTGATTTTTATTGTTTTTTAAACTGTTTCCTTAAATGTTTTGTTTATTTTTGATGAAATCAAATTGAATTTGTCCGGTGGTATCATTATTCAAGACGTTTAAAAAGTCTCACACAAGTTTTTAGTTAAGTGTTCAATAGTTTATTATTTTTATGTAAATATATATTTATGAAATTTTTTGTTTTCATTTTAGTTTTAGCAGCTTATTGCTTACTTGGAGATGTACCTGGAAGAGAAATTGGTGTATTAAAGTCTCTTTTCGGTGGGTTACTGATCGAAAACTTAACTATGCTTTAAATCAGTGGTTCCCAAACCTATTTTGTCTAACACCCACTGTGAAAAAATAAGTTATTTTGTAACACCCTCCCCCGGCCATTTACTTTCCGTACGCGGCCTTTTCGCAACGGTGAGACTATTTATACGAGTATTTGGGGATAAATCTCGGTTTGCATAAATAATCCCGCTTTCAATAAGTGCTCAACTTGTCAAAGTCAAAGCATTTATTTAAATTAATGCTTAATTAAGCACTTTTGAAACGTCAAAAATTGAATTGTTCTTCCATCTGTCTGTCTTGTCAGTGAAGCTAGGTGCTCGTTCCAAAGTGTAGTTTCGAATGGAGAAGAACGAGCAAGAAATTCTATTGTTACTCTTTAAAAAAAATGTTTTTTACAGTCTCATTGATACAATATCTGATCCTTTACCCAATATATATATGTATGTAAATATCTGAAAGCGATGTAACGACAGTATAACGTCAAAATTCAATGGGAGTCCGTAATCAACTTGGTATTGACAATAGCACGCATTGGGGAGGGAGGGGCAATTACCAATATGACTTCTCCCGCTTTGAATAAGGCAAAAGTGTCCGACTATTACTGACTCTACTCATGCTAAGAGACGGAGCCCCGGTAACCTACAAGGATCTCCACAGCCCCAGTTGGGCATTATGTATACTGGGCCCGATCTATGGTAGTCCGTTGGCTTTTTTTATCGTGAAAAATTAGCAAATGCTGAGTCATTTGAAACTTTTAGTGTCAAACTCTTACTAAGAACCACCCCGTTCTACTCTTGCTCTTCGAGCCAGAGCCCCGGTAACCTGTTCAGTCTTCCGCGGCTCCATATCGTGCATTAGCCCTACAGGTCTGGACCCCATCTGTGGTAGTCTGATAACTTTTGAAGGTGCCGTATGCTGGGGTTTGGTTCTGGTCAGGCGTTGCTACCCTTCCTCGCCGTTCATAGCCCCGTGCTTACGGTGGTCCAGTTAGGTTATGCGAACCCTGACGCTCGCGGTGTCGAGCTTGTCCTTTACGAGCCCCGTTTCGTCCTTAGCTAGCATTACCCCCTCCACTATAGCCTGTACCAGAGCCGGACGTAAGAGCGTTGTATATTACTTTCTTGAGGTCACGGCGGTGCTCCACCCATACTAGACACACCGCTACCGTTTTTAATATGTACATATGTGTCATCGGAGGTTGGTACGTTTCCTGCAAACACTTGGAGTCATGGATTTTCTTCACTTATATATTTATATATCTATTTATTTTGATATCACTAATAAATTAATATCATTTAGTAAGAGAATTTTAAATTTCAATGAATTGTAAAATAATGATATGCCTAATATGCACCTCTGCCTACCTCTTCGGGGATCAAAGGCGAGAATATTTTATGTGTGAATATTAAAATACTTATGAAGTAACTGAACGTATCATCTAGAGCCCCCGATTTTTTTCTGGATCTCCCACCGCTCCCTTCAAAGTCTCCAGCGCCTACAAGGTGCATTATCGCCCACTTTGGGAAACACTGCTTTAATACCTTATATAATGTGGGCTTGAACTATGTCCCGTGGTTACCAAAGCTTACTCTATTCTTGCGAAAGAGCAGCATAAAAGGTAGTTCGAGACACCAAATTGCTAAACATTCCGCTTTTTACTTCCTTCCTTTTCCTTAACTACTGTCATACAATGGTTGACTTTAAATAACCTTACAGTAAACTTAGAAAAAACTAAATTAATGACGTTTCAAAATAGGACTCCCAAGTTAGTAGATGATATAAATATTCACCATTCGCAAACCCCGATTGAAATATTTGATAGAACCAGATTCCAAATAAGGCCCAATAAGGGTGATGCCAATACGTAGCCGCAGAGAACGTAAAAGGTTACCGGGGCTCCGGCTCGAAACGCAGGAGTAGGAACGGGGTGGTTTTTAGTCAGTAAGAGTCTGACACTCCCTCCCACCTCACCCAGGTGGGAGAAGTCATTCGATGATTTTCTCCCTTAAAAAACGCAACAAATCGTATTGGCACCCAACTTACTTATTGGCGCCCAACATGGTACTGCAACTATGTACTCGCAATCGATAAAATTAGGGGCTTTTAATTTACTTTTCGCTAGTGTAAATGCACAACAACCTACAAATAGCTTACTTACTACTAAAAGAGTTCGCAAAACATGATATTACCTTTATTCCAAATAAATAACTACGCATTGCAAAATCCATTCGCTTTTTACAATAATTCGTTTTATAATTTAACACAATGGCTCGTTTGTATGTTTAAATTATAATTGTATGTATAATCAAAATTTGGATGTATCGATTTCAGGAATCTAGTTCGGGGAAATGACCTTAATTTCGCTGCAGCCCGGCCATCGTCCTTGACAAAGAATTGACAATCAATAAAATAGTTAAAATATTCTAAATGATTAATAACCTATTTATGTTTACACTCAATTCCAGCTGAATCCATTTCAAAAACATTAGCAAAGAAATATATGAATAAATCAATTACTTTTCGTAGCCATTGATAGTGGCCATATTTAAGACCCATTAAGGTATCGCAATCGGCAGCATCAAATTAATAAATTTTAATATTGATGAACAACTTACCATTTAACTCCGAAATTATGTCGCGAACCACTTCAATTGTATAGAAAACATAACATTAATAGTCTAAGAACATTGTTATTCGCACTATTTTCAAAATAGTTTTTATGATGTCTCGTCAAAAAGAGCGGGCTCGGTGCGTGCTCGTTACTCATCCGTTGATTCATCTTGCAATTTGTTATCGATCGACGGGAAAATAGCGCGAAACGTCAGCGAGTGTTGCCAGTGTCAGAGTTTAAAAAACTACCGTTTTATTTGGTAGCTTTTTCGAAGTTGTCCCTTTTGGGCGGCATTAAGATTGATTTTCTGGTACATACAATTTGTTAGGAATAATTTTCAATTTTAATAATATAATCATAACAGTGACACAGTGACTGACACTCCTGAGTAACAACGGACTGCTTCGTTGGCCGAGTGGTCGCAAGTGCGACTGCCGGGCAATGGGTCTCGGGTTCGATTCCCGGGTCGGGCAAAGTATTACTGGGTTTTAAAAATCTCAGTAATAGCACGGAGTCTGGAAATGTGCTCGCTATATGGCAATAGACTCATCCCCTATTACATGGGACTCATAACATAAATAGTGAAAAGTGGGTTTACATTGTACAGTGGCATTAAGTGCCGAAATGTGCACCTCTGTCTACCCCTTCGGGGATAAAGGCGTGATGTTATGTTATGTTAAGAACATAACAAAATATCGTTTTGGTTATGGAAGATGTTTTAGTACACTGAACTTAACGACAAAGGAATATTATAGCGGTATTATCCTAAGTCCGAATGCCAGATAATGTTGATAACGTTATGCGTCGCATGCCATAGTTCGTTTCTTCAGAGTTTATGTAAGATGTGTTTGGTGATGGCGTAGTAGTGTTTGTTCAAACGATTAAATTGTTTAAGTTCAGCTAGCAATCAGTAAGTGCGCGTTTTAACAACGCATTAAAAGTTTCCGTGGGAGTACGTCTACTCTACGACCATATTCTACTGGTGTACGTGTCATGTTCGTGAACGGGCGCCGTCAACTGGGAGTGGTCGGCTCCAGACTGCATTATTTATTATCTTCATGGTTATTTTCTTTTTCGATCTCTTTGACTTGATTTTGGTGTTACATTGTTCTCGCACAATCCAACCAATAAAACTGTAGAGAATTTTATTGTGAACCTGATTGGAAAAGAGTAACCTATGGAGTTTCTTGCTCGTTCTTCTCCATAGGAATCTGTACGTTGGAATGAGCAAATAGCTTCACTTTTAAATTTCTATTGCTGACGTTCAAAAGTGCCTTCCTGGTCTAATTGAAATAAATGTTTTTGACTTTACCTCTGATTCTTTTTTTTTTTATGGGACAAGCCCGCCACAACCTCCCAAAACCGCTGCAACTCCTGTAAGCCAGGATCTACAGTATATACAACCATGAAAACACCGGAACACTGAAGTCCGGCGCGTCCCAGGGACATGAGTAACTGTCTTGGTTCCCGCAACGAAGTGAATCAGAAGATATTATAAGAGGAGAAGAAAAGAAGCCTCTACCTCTGATTCTGTTAAATTTTATACCGTTAAGTTTTTCATACAAAAATAGTCTCTAAACATGGGAAATAAGGTACATTATAGACCTGAGAGCGGTCACCGGAAACCGCTTGGGGATTTAAGGTCATCGCAGTCCATTCAGCCGTTTTATGGGACTGAGTAACAAACATACACATAAACTCACATATTTTCGCATTTATAATATCGGTTCAAGCTAATTTCAACCATAGACCCTACAGTTACAGCGTAAAGTCCACTGCAGGCAATCTAACATATTTGACAAACTTATATTTGCGATTGCTACAGTAACTATGTCTAGGGATCAAGCCGCACAATTAAGTTTGTTTTTTTGTGTATATACTTTTTTGGGTTATAAAGTACCTAGTGTTGTACTCAAAATATTGAAATATAATCATACCAAGTTTCATCATAATCGGACCGGTAGTTTTTGCATGATGCGTGAATATACACAGAGACATACAATTTTTTTTAAACACATTTTTGGCTTCGTTGTCTATCTAGTAACACCCCTTACTATTGATTTTTTAATATTTTCAATGAACAGAATTTATTCTTCTACAGTTTTATTAAATAAAAAGAAAGTAAAAGAAAACAACAAAAATTATACCCTTAATTTAGGCGTCAAAGTATTCGTCCGTATCACTATCACAGGGGAAAGTTCCCAGAAGACTGGCAGCATTGCCACGTTGAATGGCAATGCTTATTTTCTGTCCGAAGAAAAAGCCAGCCCTCTGGTCACGTGTAGAGTCGATTTTATTATGTTTACCGCGCTATGATTCCGTTAGCGCTCCGAACAATCGAACAATCCATGGTACATTTTGAAGCCCAATTGGGCGCCAATATGCCATGGCCCGCGTGGTATCGTACGGGTATTGCTGTTGTAGCCAGGATCCAAGGAGTTTGTATACCAATATACTAAGCTTCTAATGACCTATGGTCGTTTGTACTTATCTAAAAGGTTAGAAATCAATACATTTTGAGTGGATATGTTTTATAGGTTAATATGATGACATAGCAATCTTTGATCTTTAAATTTTTAATTCATTTAGGAGCGAAAAGAAAGCGATTAGCGTTTTTCTATTTCATTTTTGTTTAATGTTTTCTGATACTTGTATTTTGTTAATTGGTAACGTCGTTATGTCGTATAAAACGCAATTTAGTTACCTTTAGATATGCGTACCTATAGGTTAATTACTTAAAGGTAAGTAAATTGCCCTTTATGGATAATTTTATGGATGATAATGATAATCATCAACAGTAATAATCAACAGCCTATGCCCACTGCTGAACAAAGCCTCTTCTCACACGGAGAACGTTGGAGCATTAAACTGTCAAACACTGAGCGGTCACCGGTGACGGCAACCTATTGTTCTTTAATTGTGTCTATAATGATGGTATTGCTCAATGCGGGTTGGCGATTACAAACTTATACTTAGAAGTTATAAGTCCAGGTTTCTTCACGAAGTTTTCGTTCACCGTTTGTCAGTGGTGTCTAGATAATCTTAGAAAGTACATCTATCTCGGAAAAAGTCACATTGGTACTTATTGGTAGGTTTCGACCCCGCACTCTCATGCATGCGGTGTCTGTCCAGTGACATTCCCACTATGTATTTTTTAAACAGTTTTATTATATGTATCTTTTTTTAAGGGGGGAAAATCATCGAATTACTGCTCCCGCCTGGGTGAGGCGGGAGGGAGAGTCAGACTCTTACTGACTAAAAATCAACCCGTTCTTTCTCCTGCACGTCGAGCCGGAGCCCCGGTTACCCGTTAGCTTCTCCGCGACTTTATTATATGTATAGACATAGATTAACGGACGTTTGTAGTTAAGATGTTTTATATTTACCAAAACAGACAGACAGTGAAAAACAAAAATAAAAAACCAATAGCAATAATTTCTTTATTACTTCAATCAACAGTTAAAGGGTACTTCAACTCCCCTCCGTCTATTAAATCATATATGAGTTCATCCCGGTCAAAATCGTCATGGCGCCTATGTCCAGCTATCAAATCATAATTATTTTCATAATTGTCAATAGGTTTTACATGTTTTAGTTTGTGTTTCATTTCAACTCGTTTTGCATCTTTCATTATACTGTTCAGGAATTGGGTGACGTTGAATTTTTCTCCAGCGTTGATTGGTTTAATCGATTCGTGGGTCCGCAGTCTCGATTTCCTTGGTTGTGTATGGTGAAGAGCTGTTGGGTGTGGAAAGGAATTTATTTATTGACTGTATCACAAAATAATTTTATTGTTTATTATTGTTATTTCTATTGGTTTCTTCGGTATTATTACTTTTTTTTTAAATTGATTTTTATCTTGTTTGTGTAACACACTATGTGTCTCAGTGTTGTTATTTCTTTTCCTGCCACAGGCCCACAGGAAGAAATTCCAGTTGGAATATGTGGGGCCTATGTACTCTGTTTTTATATTATGTATTGTCCTCTGTGTTGAATGTGTGTACATAAATAAATAAATAAATAATTAATGTAAAAAACAAAGGTACAGGATTACAATCTAGAGGTATATCTATTTGTTACAGCCAAAGTGATAAGTTGATATTATTGATAATAGTTGGTCATCCTTACTACTATTATAATATTATAATCCTTACTAATCCTTACTAATATTATAAATCGGAAAGTGAGTTTGTTTGTTTGTTTGTTCCGCTTTCACGCCGTAACTACTGAACCGATTGCTTTGAATTTTTACAGACGTAAAGTTAGAAGTCCGGATAAAATAATAGAGTACTTTTTATCCCGGAAAAATGTGACATTCCCCAGGGAAAACTAATGTATTGGTATAGATGGCGCTGTGTGTATTGGTATATGTCACATAGGCTACTTTTTATCCTTTTGTGACGCGAGCGAAACCGCGGGTCAAAGCTAGTTATACATAACTAGCTTCTGCCTAGGACTTCGTAAGCACAATCCCGTTTTTCTCGTCCCCGTTCGTGATAAGTAAAAACTATCCTATGTTCGCCTCCTGGTTCTAAGCTACCTCTCAACCAATTTTCATACAAATCGATTTAGCCGTCCTTGAGTTATAAGTAGTGTAACTAACACGACTTTTTTATATAGGTAATATAGATATAGATATAGATATCGACAGAATTTGGTCACAGAGATAAATGAAGCGGAATTAATCACAATGACTAGTTATTATAAATAATATCTTCGAAGACTTGGATAAAGTAATAAAACAAGCGCCTGTAAATGGACAGGGTTGTTTTGCGATATGGCGCAGCGGCTGAATAGATTGTCAATGTAAGACGAAGCAATAAGTCGTACTGTCGATGCGAGACGTTCTACATTAAGTCGTTATGGGGTTCGCTCTCGTGGTTTTCGATGGTGCTGTCAAAATGTAAATCCAAGATGGTCGCTACACGAAATTTTTAACTGTAGTCATATGGGTGTCGTTTTCATGGTTTTCGAGGGTCGTGAAAATGATGGTGTTGTCAAAATGTAAATCCAAGATGGCGGCTACACGAAATTTTCAATTTATCGTCCCTGGTGTCGTTTTCATGGTTTTCGAGGGTGGTAAAACCGAAGGTGATGTCTTTATTAATTTTTAGACAAGATTCTAATTGAAAATACTCATATTTTTATAATATCTGACTATCGTAAGACCACTGAATTGACAAAAAAAGGTTTACTCACACAAATATACTGAGATGAATACGGTTATTAATGTAGCCCTCGGTAGAGGACATATACTGACCAGATTGGCAATATATTAAAGAAGGGCCAAATTAAAAGTACCCTTAACCGACGAGCATGCATGAAAAGATTGATGACTGTTGATGAAGCGAAAGAAGTACATATGTAGGAATCGTAGTAATTGGCGTTCTATAGTCTCTGCCTACCCCCATGGGAGACAGTCGTGAATTTATGTATGTATGTATGGATATACTGAAAAAAGTTTTTATAGTTTCGACTACCAGCCCGCGCTGCTTTCCAGCAGGCTGCGCGATATCGCCGCGACCGCGCACTCTGCTCATGAGGAAGAACCCCTCTATGACTCGTAACTAGTAGAGCTTTTCTCAGTATACATACGTGAGTAAGTTGTAAATACTCACATATTAATAAAATGATTAAATAACAGAATACATTATATTCTCTCATCTCTCCAAGACGTCTGTTCAGTGACAATAAAAAATTGATAACAAGAAAAACATTGAGTTCAGTGGATAATCGATTTTTTCAGTTATTACACCGTGAAATTATTGAAAAAATTGTCTTTTTTAATTAGTTTTTGGAATATTGTTTCGATTTGTCGAAGTGTTGCCAGAGTGTGTGTTTCCTGAAGGGTATAACCTGGGTGTCTTCAAGGCCCGAGTGAATAGGTTGCTTATGGGACGACGTGCTCCATCGTAGACCGCATCATCGTGCACCACCAAGCACATATAAAAATAAATTGTGTCGTGTAGTAGAATACGGATGCCACCACCACTATTATTACTGTGGGTGTAGTATACCCGGCTAATGGATCATACATTACCTGCTCAATTCTCAAGGTGTCACAGTCATAGGTGACTGCTCTCCATTGTTTTTATGGCATATAAATAAAAGTCTTGTAAACGAGCAGACGGATCACCTGATGGTAAGCAATCGGCGTTGCCCATGGACACCTGGAACACCAGAGGCGTTACAAGTGCGTTACCGGCCTTTTGGGGATTAGGAATTTAAGGATCGTTGGTTATTCAGGGATTGGGGAGATTGGGGAAGGGAAGGGGATAATTACGTCTCCACTGCCCTCACTCACACGACGAAACACAACGCTGTGGTTGTTTCACTATGGTTTTCTGTTCGGCCGTGGTATCACTCCGGTCGAGCCGGCCCAGCAGTGCCGAAGCATGGCTCTCCCCTACTGAAAACTTACTTACTCCATTACAGACCTTAATACCGATGTTTAGAGACTATTTTTGAATGAACATATTTTCGGTACTATATATCAACGTAATAAACGGAGACAGGGCAGCAGCTCTCTCTCATAAACCTGAACCTTCTTTATATTCTTGACTAGCGACTCGCCCCGGCTTCGCACGGGTGCAATATGCATGTATCCTTACTAATATTATAAACCGGAAAGTGAGTTTGTTTGTTTGTTTGTTCCGCTTTCACGTAGTAACTACTCAACCGATTGCTTTGAATTTTTGCAGACGTAAAGTTCAAAGTCCGGATTAAATAATAGGGTACCTTTTATCCCGGAAAATTTATATTCCCGAGGGAAAACAAAGGTATTGGTATAGATGGCGCTGTGTGTATTGGTATATATCACATTGGGTACTTTTTATTTTTTTGTGACGCGAGCGAAGCCGCGGGTAAAAGCTAGTAACATATAAACCTTCCATAAGAATCACTCTATCTAAGTATTAAAAAAACCGCATCAAAATCCGTTGCGTAGTTTTAAAGATCTAAGCATACATAAGGACAGACAGACGGCGGATAGCGACTTTGTTTTATACTATGTAGTGATAATGATAGGTTATTGTTTAAACTGTGATCTCCAACTTGTTTGCCAAGTGTGGGGATTATGTCAAAACCTAGTTTTATGTAGAGGAGGTTTGTAGAAGAGGTTGTTTATGATTGTATGTCATGTTTTCTACTTTTCGGAACCGTGGATAGAAATTAGAGTGAAGTCTGGAAATATGCCCGGTATATGTCAATAGGCTCACCCCCTATTACATGGGACTCATAACATAAATAGTGAAAAGTGGGTGTTACATTGTACAGTGGCATTAAGTGGCGAAATGTGCACCTCAGCCTACCCCTTCGGGGATAAAAAGGCGTGATGTTATGTTATGTTATGTTATGTTATGTTATGTTATGGATAGAAATTAATTAACCACATTAATTTAAGAGCCATCCCCTAATGTATCGTATCCCGTACTTAATATTTTACTCAACCCGAGAATCAAACACAGAACCACGCATTATACAACACCAACAAAGCATGCAAACATGATTTTTAATGAAACAACTTTCCACGAAAAACTGAAGACAGCCGAACAATGAGAACAAAGTAATTTGAACCTTATGTCTAATAGCATAAGTACTTTAGTAGCGGCTAATCCAGGTAAAATAAAAAACAAATGTAAGAAACAGTTGAAACATACGATCTTCAACCTTATTTCTATGGATATAAGGGCTTAAGTGAGTGCTAATCCAGGTGAATGTAATATAGGTTAAATTCCCAAGCCCTTTTCTTGAGAAAGTAACCTGTGATTGGCCAATTTCGGTGATGCGCGCGCATTCGCGAAAGGTGATTGACGGATTCCTTGTCCTATATTCCTTACATTGACGATTTTGTTTACAAATACAGTTTTATTGTTAAAAGTTAAGCAGCAATGTATGTGGTGTTGAAAGAAAGTGTTGTTTTCTATCTTTTGAAGGCTTTTTACTACTTTCGTTGCATGGGACTCGCTATTTAGTTGTGGTTCGCAACCCATTGCATTTAGATAGGGACTAAAAATCAAAATGTGACGCCGAAAAAAATAATAATGTGCAAATAAAAATAACAACTTAATAAATCAAACTAAAATGTTTATTTAATAACAAAAAAAAACAACGCGTGCCTTATAAAATCGTGCTTTTAAAAAAATAAATTAAATTATATAAGTACTTATAAGTGTAAACTAAAAAAACAGTGTATCAAAATTGTACAACGAAAAAAAAAATAAACGAAGCATCCATCTTGTGTACCTAATTCGAAATTTAAATGTTACGTCATCGGAGCATTTAAAAATAATTCAAAATGGCGAATGTGGGAAAAGTTTTGGCTACTATAAAAGCCGTTATAACTCGTCTCGTTTTCGCTTGCCACGGCATAATCGCTATATGGCAGGTGACTCTGTTCAAAGATGACATCGAATACTGGTATTTGGCGTCCCCTATTATGCTTCTTATATTCGAAGGAGTCTTTACGTTGACTATAAAAGAAAATCAGGAGTGGAAATGGTAAGTACTTAATACATAAATTAAGTTCCCATTGAGTACTGTCATTATACATAGACACAAAATTAAAGAACAATAGGTTGCGGTCACCGGTGTCCTCGCGGTGTTAGGGTTATTCTTTTTTTTATCTTTTCTTTTTTTTTCTTTTTTTTTTTAAAACACTAGGATTTTCTCCTGTGTCGTGAGTGCGTTTACAAACATACAATATCACATACCTACACATGGCACCCAGACCCGGAACAACAATCTAGTGGATCACACAAAGAGTTGTTCCGTGCGGGAATCAAACCCGCGACACGCTACGCGGCAGCCAGTTGCCCGGCCACCGCGCCAACCGTGCAGTCATAATTTAAGTTTTAATTGAGATTAGTAGAATAGTAGGGACCTAGGTATTTATCGCTGTCCTTTCGTTTCATAGGAGCTGATTAAGGGACGTTTTTTTCCATTAAACTGTCAAACACCAAGCGGTCACCGGTGACCGCAACCTATTGTTCTTTAATTGTGTCTATAAATACGGTACTCGACGAGTTAATTATCTACTATAGGTAGTTATACACAAACCGGAGACTGTCGTTGGGTGCATTTCCATAGTGCATACAGGGATAGTCGCCGGTTTGTGTGTCCATTACATTTAGATTAAAGTTGTCTATAGGACCTCTGCGCAGTTGGCTTTGGGCCCTCGTATGCCTCCCAAATTCCCAGAGACCAAGCAGCAGCGCTCTCTGATATACTTAAATTTTTGCCAATACAAATATGATAAAAACTTTTTATATGTACAAAAAATTGTAACTTGCAATATTTTTATATAAATTACGTTTAATAAAACCGACTGGAACGCCCGCTCTTGTTTTTGAAGGCGGTTAATTAAATATACTTTGGCGTAGTGCGCCGCGTAATTTATAGGCAGGCCTTTAAATAAAACTCGTGTTATGTTCAATGGCAAAACTTATAATCGACTTGTCTGTCAAAAAGTGTAACGACATAAAGTGTCACCAAGTTAATTATAAAACCATCGACGGTCAATGGCGACCATAAACAATATCAATATTCTCGTCTTAATATACTAAAAGTGGGTCCCATACATATCTCTAATAGTGGGATGCCACATTACTAAAACCTTCTCCTAAATGTAACAAACACTTTTCTGAAATCCGCATCAAAATCGGTTCAGCCAGTCCCGACATAATCGCGCACAAACATACATACATACATACATTAAGGTCACTCTGATAACCTCGTTGACCGAGTGGTCACAAGTGGGACTGCCGGGCAAGTTTCGGGTTCGATTCCCGGGTCGGGCAAAGTATTACTGGGTTTTAAAAAAATCTCACTATTAGCACGGAGTCTGGAATTGTGCCCGGTATATGGCAATAGGCTCACCCCCTATTACATGGGACTCATAACATAAATAGTGAAAAGTAGGTGTTACTTCTGTACGCACCTCTGCCTACCCCTTCGGGGATAAAAGGCGTGATGTTATGTTATGTTATGACAGCCTACGTTTTACAAGTCGGTTAAAAAAATTATTTTAGACAAAAATATTCAAAATAATCATTTTTTAATTAATTGTTCTGGTAACACCTAATTGTCTCGTATTTTTCTGGTTAACTTTTTTAAGAAATATCTGCGCTACTTGACGGGACAATATAATGACGTCATGACAATTCATGACACACATGATAAACACAACGCTGTGGTTGTTTCACTATGGTTTTCTGCTCGGCCGTGGTATCACTCCAGTCGACCCGGCCCAGCAGTGCTGAAGCATGGCTCTCACACTTAGTATTAGTCAATAGATGGTTGGGGGACCACAACAAGGCGCTTTTCCCGCAATATTCTGCCTCGCACAGCAAAACTGTGGAATTATCTATCATCAGCGGTATTTCAAAACCGATACGACCGTCAAACCTACAAAAAATAGGTATTCCTATATACATAAAAATGCCGGCAATGCACATAATACTCCTCTAGTATAGCGCGGATATATGCGCTACACCAGATGGCATAGCGTATGGACACCCGTCCATGGCGACGCTAATCTCACTTAATCGGGTGACCTGTCCGTTTGCATCCTATTCCATAAAAAAGTTGTTATGTATTCCTACCAAGGACGTTGTATCCTTACTATAATATTATAAATCGGAAAGTGAGTTTGTTTGTTTGTTTGTTTGTTTGTTTGTTCCGACTTCACGCCGTAACTACTAAACCGATTGTATTGAATTTTTGCAGACGTAAAGTTAGTAGTCTGGATTAAATAATACGGTACTTTTTATCCCGAAAAAATTTGATATTCCCGAGGGAAAACAAAAGTATCAAAGTCAAAGTCAAAGTCAAAATCATTTATTTCAATTAGACCAGAACGGCACTTTTGAACGTCAATAATAAAATTAGAAGTGAAGCTATTTGCTCATTCCAAGGTGTAGATTCCTATGGAGAAGAACGAGCAAGAAACTCCATAGGTTACTCTTTTTCAATCAGGTTCACAATACAATTGTCCAGTTACATAGTTTGCTGTTTGGATTGTGCGAGAACAATGTAACACTAAAATCTAGTCAAAGTGATTGAAAAAGAAAATAACCTTAAAGACAATAAATAATACAGTCTGGAGCTGACCAGTCCCAGTTGACGGCGCCCGTTCACGAACATGACACGTACACCAGCATCGCCCAACTCAACCATATTGTAGGGAATCGAGCGATCCACTGCACGCGCCACCGCCAATGAGACCTTTGAGTGAGCATGACAACTCCAAGCTGACACAAATGCATTCTACTAGTCTAATTTAATATTAAGTTAATTACAGGGCTCTCACATTCACAATGGTTATCTAAGTTAAACAATATACAATTTAGCAAAATGGCTGTATTATTTACAATTTCATTAAAACATCAGTGTTTTTTGTTATCCTGTGGAGCCGGACTAGCCTGTATCCAAGCATTTTTATCAACTATATAATCATTAAGTTTGTAATACGCTTGTTTACATAAAGTTTTCTTTATACATAATTTAAATTTTGATTCATTTAGGTGTTGTATGTCGCCTGGTATCTTATTATAACATTTAACACAGAATCCCATGAACGACTTACTTACTTTCGCCAATCTCGAAATTGGCTGACTTAATCTATTTCCATGTCTAATTTGATAGTGGTGTCTGTCCGACACTTTACCAAATAACTGTAGGTTTTTGCTAACATACATGATGTTTTCATAAATAAATTGACATGGTATTGGTATAGATGGCGCTGTGTGTATTGGTATATGTCACTTAGGCTACTTTTTATCTTTTTGTGACGCGAGCGAAGCCGCGGGTAAAAGCTAGTTAGTTCAATAAGTAAATTCATTTGGAAATAATTTTTTGAAGTTGATACAAAACACAATTGTCAGCAGCTCCGATGATATAAACTACATATTTCTTAAACGAAAGCAAAATAAAAATGTAAAATATACAAAAAATCGCCCGGACAGGGACTTGAACCCTGGACCCTTGGATTAAAAGTCCAATGCTCTACCGACTGAGCTATCCGGGCTGTAGGAGTAATGCTGAAAATACGCAAAATAAGGCAATCATTAGTTTCTATTAAATACCTTTGTTTGTTCAAGTGTTAGCGGTAGATGACTCATTTTTATTTTAATGTCCGTCTGGTAGATTATTTTAAAATATTAGATACCTACGTATTTTTTCCTTTCTTACATAAACGAATACTTTCGACGATATATTGATTTGAAATGTCGCGTGACGTCACTTCTATGTACATTTTATACGTAGAAATTACTGCCTCGTTGGCCGAGTGGTCGCAAATGCGACTGCCGGGCAAGGGGTCTCGGGTTCGATTCCCTTCGTTTCTCAAAATCTCAGTAGAAGCACGGAGTCTGGAAATGTGCCCGGTATATAGCAATAGGCTCACCCCCTATTACATGGGACTCATAACATAAATAGTAAAAAGTGGGTGTTACATTGTACAGTAACTTTAAGTGCCGTAATGTGCACCTCTGCCTACCCCTTCGGGGATAAAAAGGCGTGATGTTATGTTAGAGTGTTATTTTTTCTTTTTTACAGAAACGAATACTTTCGACGATATATTGATTTGAAATGTCACGTAACGTCACTTCTATGTACATTTTATACGTAGAGGTAGAAATGACGTTTTAGCCCCCACTCCTAAACTTTGATTCGTTTTATCTAAGTATTGTTTTATTATACGACGAAATAAAAAAATACGTGTCCAATATTTTTTCATTACCTAACTGACGGACTAATTAGATTTTTAATTTTCATACCCTGTCATCATGCCTATTAAGTGCAGCTTTGTCGCTAAAATATATGACATTTCTTTCGTATGTGTCGACCAGCAGCTGTAGCCAAATGCCATTTAGCGCTTGTCTACATGTAGAATAGAAAACCAAATTATATGGAGTTGACGTAAATTTTGACACTTGTCAATGTCATCCCCATACATTTTGATTTCTACTCTCTCTCTGTAGACAAGCGCTAAAGTGGCGTTTGGCTAAAGGCACGGGGCCTCGAGTCTGCTATTACAATAGTGTCAGAATGATCGATCATTGCTTTAAAAATTGTTGATTTTGACATGTTTGGTAATTTACTAATGTAATGGCGTCATTATGACTTTCCAATGGTCAACCACTGACACACCATTGAAAGTAATGACATAAAATGGTAATCTCGTACGTAATGACAGATACTTCATCATCATCATCATCAACAGCCTATAAATACCCACTGCTGAGCAAAGCCTCTTCTTACACGGAGAAGGTTTGAGCATTATCGCCACGCTTGCTCAATGCGTGTTGGCGATTTCAAACTTATAATTAGAAATTATAAGTCCAGGTTTCCTCACGATGTTTTCCTACACCGTTTGTCAGTAGTGTCTAAATAATCTTAGAAAGTACATATAACTCGGAAAAAGTCACATTGGTACTTGCCGTTGGTAGGTTTCGAACCCGCACCCTCATGCATGAGAAGCGGGCGTCTTAAACCTCCGG